ATGAAGGCACTGATCCTTTATAACTCTGCCTCCTGTATCCTGTTGTTATTGTCCCAAATTACAAATTATATGTAGTGTGTCCATTAACAAAGATTTATAATTGGTTTATACATTTGTCTTTTAAATAAAAAAGAGGAGTTAAAAATGAAAAAACACAATAATAATTTTATATTTACCTATGTACCTGTGCATGTACCATTGTTCTTTCTTTGTATGGCTTTGAGTCACTGTCTAGTGTTCTTTCATTTCAGCCTGAAGGCTTTCCTTTAGCATTCTGCACAGGGCATGTCTACTGGGACAGACTCCCTTAATTTTTATTTATCTGTGAGTGTCTTAATTTCTCATTCATTTTTGAAGGATAGTTCTGTTGGATACAGAATTCTTGATTGACAGGGTTTCCCCCTTCCCTTTCAATACTTTAAATGTGTCATCCCATTGCTTTCTAGCATCCACAGTTTCTGAAGAGAAATCTCTGTTAATATCATTAAGGATTCCTTGTATGTGATAAGATGCTTCTCTCTTGCTGCTTTCAAGATTCTTTCTTTGTCTTTGTCTTTCAACAGTTTCACTATAATGTGTTTCCTTGTGGATCTCTTTGATTTTATTCTGCTTGGAGTTTGTTGAGCACCTTGAATGTGTAAACTGATGTCTCACCAAATTTGTAAAGCTTTTAGGTATTAGTTCTTCAGGTATTCTTTCTGCTCTGAGTTGGGCAAAATAAAAGCCAGCCCTTACACCAGTCTTTCTGGGAACTGCTAGACAGGTAAAACAAACAAACAAACAAACAAACAAATATAACCTCAGTTATTTGAGAATAAGGTTTTGTTTTGCTCACTCTGCACTAACAACCTGCACTGGGAACATGAATTACCATCTTCATGGATACCATCAATCTAGGGAGTGCAGGATGAGGTGGCCAATTTAAAATGCAACAGCATTCTCTTACTGCAGGGTGACAGCAATAAGTATCACAGTAAGTGTGACAGCCTCTTTCTTTATTAATCTTCCTACAAATTCTTGACTACATTCCAGAGTTTTGCAAAAGTTGATTTAAGCAGGATTTTTTCTAGGTTATTAGTTGATTTTTACAGCTGGATGGAAGCTTTGAGTTCTCTACTCCACCATTTTCAGTGATCTCACTTCCTTCTTTTCCTTTTTGAATCCTTTATTGGATCTCTAGATATTCCCAAAAAGTACATGTTACAAATCCTATTTTATTTTTATTAAAAAGGGATTGTATATTATCTTTTGGCCCCCTTTTCACTGAATACTGTTTCAAGTCATCCGTATTTTTGTGTGTGATATTGTGGTTCATGTTTTGACTGCTGAATGGTATTCCAGCATAAGAGTATTTCCAGGAGATTGTTTAGCTCTTACTGTGTAAATATTTTGTTTGTACGCCTTAATTGAGGTGAGGTAGTATAAGAGATAGCTTGTTTTTCCAGGTACCAACTAGCAGGCCAATTTAAGGCACCTAGTATGTGCAGCATGGTACCAGCCTCTGAAGGGATGTTGGTATGGGAGGGTGGGCCCAGCTGGTGCCTAACTCAAATGTGAGATGACAAGGATGGGCGCAGGCAGCAACTATTTGTGGACACGAAAATGGAGGGGGAGAATTCCAAGGCACCACTGAGGAAGAATTGCTGACAAGCTTTGCAGGAAATTGTATACTGATGGTAAAGGATCAGAAATTGAAATAACCTCTCAGGATCTCAAGTCTCAGAGCTGGGGTAGATGTGTTTGGGGGAAGGGATGATTCTAGGAAGAGAAGCAATGGAGTTTTGAAAAACAACAAGGCAGAGCAGGATTTACGTCATATGAATGTCTCAGCATCTGTTGCTCTTCAGGCTACTCCTGGATCAAGGCAGGAGTTTTACCTCTTGTCTCTGATTTTGGAATGCTTTTCCTCTCTAATCTAGTTTGCATTTTCCTGTCAGATAGAAAACCACCATTTGCTTGACTCCCAGCATGGCTCCTCGCCTGCCTTCCCAGCCTTCCACCTCCCTGCCCATGTACCCCACAGCTCCCAGTAAAGTTGGGGCAATGCTCCTCTGCACCAGCTCTAAGCCACACTGGGACTTCATGGCTGGTAAAGTCCCCACGGCCTTACCATCTCCCTGCTGCCTCTGAAATGCTGTAATTCCTTTGGGGTCCAGCTCAGATCCTGCTTTTTTTCCATGAAATCTTTCCACACTTTCTTTCTTCCTTTCCAGAATAGCCATTGTATATGGAGTGCTTATTTGGATTTTTTTTACTGAACCAAAGTCACATATTGTTGAAATGACCTAAAATTTTAAAAAAATTTATCTTTCTTTCATAAATAAGTTATTCATGTTTTAGAATGATATATGTGGGAAGGGCTTGTGCTTCAATTAATGAGAACAAAAGTAGTAAATCTTTTGCAAATATTCCATGGGGTTATTATGCCATTTAGGTTAAGGGAGTTTCTCACCAAAGTTGAGAAAAGTTTGCACCTAAATAGCATTTAAGAAGTGACTGTGCACTCCACTTCTGTATCCAGAGTTTTGGGGTCATCAAAACTGCATTCTCTCTTGCCTGTGGCAGAGCCATCAGGCGTGGCAGGTGCAGGAGCTGGTCAAGGGCACCCTCTGGCCAGGTGCTCTCCACTAGGTACCTGGGGTCAGGTGCCCTCAAAGCCCCTTCTTAAACTGGACAGTCCTTGCATACACTGCTTACTGGAAACATAGCCATTTGCTTGGTATTTTATATTCATGTGGTATTTTATGTTTTAATATCACAGGCAAATCTGACCAAAATGATATTTGTTTTCAAAGCCAAGTTTCTTCAGAGCTTGTCAGCAAAGCTTCAGAGTTGAAGGTTGCTGCATGGAAATGAAATCAACTGTGGGCCTTTGACACAACGAATTAGACTTAGGTAATCAGTGGAGCTTGGGGGGAGTGACATTAGGACAATTCATGCGTAAGGGACAGCATGTGCGTAAGTCAGGTTTTAATTTGAGTTTATGATGGCAATGTCCCCATTGGTTCAGTTTTCTAAGTCAGAAGGGGGTAGATTGAAGCCACTGTTTTAACTCTTGGTGCAAATGCAATTTTTTTTCTCTAACTGGTAACATTTACTAAAAGAGGGAAATCTTTTGATTGATTCAGCATTGCTACGGCCTTGCATTTTATCCTTATACCTAAGAAAATCATATATTACGTACATAGAAGGTGCTTACGTAATATTTCATTAAGGTCTTATTGTATACCGGCTCTATGCTCAATCTTCATCCTACCTGAATGACCACATCTATTTCTCACAATGATGCTGTGAGATAGGTAATCATTTACTCTGCTTTACAGATGACGAAGCAGGAGCTGAGAGGTTAGGAAGCCTGTCCCAGGGTGGATAGTGTGTTAGAGGCCAGACGACTCCAACCCTGAAGCCCGCACTCCCACCACCACGTTCTGTGTACTGCTTATTAACATCTATGGGCTGAAAGAATATTAGGTGGCCTAGATTTAATGGGGATGTCATACGAGACTCACACATAAGATGGGTACTGAACTTGGTGCTTCCAGATCCTTCCCTCACTCTGAATTTTTGTCCAGACTGCAGAAGCCATCTGCTTATGTCTCCGAAAGCACCACTTCCCTGTATGAGACACACCCTTCCGCCCCATGCTTTTAGTCATTCTGGAATTCAAAGGATAGTTAGGCAGCTTTGTGTTCCGACTTCTTGCCAGCTCTGGGACCTTGGTGAGTACTTGCTACTTAAACTCCATCTTGCTCTTAAAGCAGAGTTAAAACATAATGGCCATAGTTCTAGCTGCTAGGCTAACCTAGGTCTATAGTTCACATTAAACATTAGCTCATATTGCCTCCAGGTTTGAAACCAGTGTACCCAGAAGAAATTTGCAAAGGGACAGTGATGTTGAAATATTTTAAGTGCAAACAGGAGGACTCCTGTCTGCTGACAAGGACAAGGCTATGTTGTCTAAAGTCCCTATTTGATCCTCATTTTTCCGTCCCTTCCCAGTGGCCTTTTCCTCTCTGGACCTTCAACAATCTTGTGCCTGAGCATTCCAACGACTCTTTCTTAAATGCCTCTGATGAAATATGTATATGTAGAATCCCTTACTTCATCTCAAAAGAGGTCACTTTTATATAGTTTCTCCCTGGGGGGATAGTGTTGCTACTGCTGATGAGTTGGCAACACTCAAGATTTGGAGCACCAGAGAAAAATTTTTAAGTGCTCATATTCTGAGTATAGAGGGGATCTGGGCAGCAGAATTGTTAGTGGGGGGTTACTGCACCCTAACTTTTGCTTCCCACAGTCCAGTGTTTGGTGCACAGGCTTTTGGCTGCTTACGTTTTATTGCCTTCTAGCGGGAACTGGTTTCTCCACCCATTCCCACTGTCTGATCTCAATTCCCTACCGTTGCGCTGGCCTGAGGATGCAGCTAGATCTGAGGGTGGGAGAAAATGAAGAGAGAGAGAGAGAGAGAGAGACGCTGTCATTTAGTGCATGAATTGGCTAAAGATGTAAGCCTGTCCACTTCTTTTCTTGGTCAAAGCAAAAAAAAAATGTGTAGGAGTTGTGAGCAGGTGTTGATCAGGTATACAGAACTGAATAGGTAGATGTTTAATTTATCTTATGGGAGCTTTGGGAACTTGGACTCTGATAATTTCCCTGTAATGAATCTTTCTCTCAAGACTCCTTTTCCCAAAAAAAGCATTTTCTGTAACCTGTCCAGATACTTCTTAACATCTTGCTTGTCAATGTGACTGCCAGCGTCTTAGAGACATTGACTATTTAGGCGATTTCTATTAGCAGAAAAATATGGGCTCAAAAGTTTTTCTTCTCAATGAATGTGTTGTGTAACATCCAAGCTGACTCAGAATACAGGTGCATGCTTTAGCTCTGAGAAGGTAGAAGAAGGGGGAGAGCCCAAGCCCGACAAGGTGTGGGGGAGGAAGGACAGCACCCAATAGCACAGGCCACCCTGTGTTGCAGTCTTCGCCTAAACTGTATCTCTGGGAAAGATTTCCTGGCTGCCTGTTTGTATCCCTGAGTCACCACAGACCCCCGCCCTCCAACGTGGGATGTTAACCTTGGAGCAATATGGAGATTAGCCGCAGAGCTGAAGCAGAGTCCCAAAGGAGCTTCAGTTCTGCAGAATCTACACAGCCTACTTTACCATACATTGGCCAGATGCTAGCGCTTGGGACGTCCGAGCTGACAACTGGAATCCCTCAAGGTAAGAAGAACCCCCTCCCAGGAAATGGACTCCTCCAATTTTCTCACATGATTATTCAGGCACTTTCACTCTTCCATATATAGGAGTCACTCAGGAGCAAGCTGTGACCAGTCGGAGGGAGTGACACATCTGCGCTCAGTTCCTCCTCACCATCCTCACCTCCTTCTCACGTGCTTGCGGGCTGTTCGGCAGAAGTGAGCCCCGTGGCTCTGCCAAAGACAAGCCTGTTGCGTTTACAGAAGGGGAAAAAAAAAAAAACCAACAAAACCAAAAACCCAAACAAACCTCGGGCAAAGTCACGGCATTGAAATCGTTATCCTGAAGAAACTGCGCGGAGAAGTGTGCAAAGATGAATGGCCCGGTGGATGGCTTGTGTGACCATTCTCTAAGTGAAGAAGGAGCGTTCATGTTCACATCAGAGTCGGTCGGAGAGGGACACCCAGGTGAGTAGGTGGCCGTGAGCCCATGGCAGCCGCAGCCAGGGGGGTCATTTCACAAGAGGCCTTAAAAACAGTTTGTGTTGGTTACTCTGTGGGACCTCTGGAGGCACAATATGAGGCGTTTTTCATTCTATTAATTTGTAGTTTTGTAAAACAGTCACTGAGTATGAAATGAGAAGTGGCGAGGTAATGAAGCCAAGGGCTCGTGCTGTGCCCACCTCTTCCACCCACAGCAGAGGACACACAGTGGGTTGACGGGACATATTATACATGGGATATTATATCATCAAATATCAACTTTATATATATTTTGGGGGGGCAGGGAGGATACAGCTTTATTATTGTTGAGCAACTCAAGTCAACAGAGAATCTTCCCTCAGACAAGACCACAGTCACTGAGTTTGGCATGTAAGGCACGTGCAGTCTAGGCATGAAGAGCACATTCTAGTAGTCGCTGAGATAGATTGCCAGGTCCTCAAGGCCTCAGGTGTGTTACCTGAGAGAAGTACAGGTAACCTCCTGAAGAGGAAGAACATTCGAGCAGTTTTTGGTGATGTGGGGAAACGGGAGAGGCTCACACATGCGAACAGTGAGGCCCATGATCAGAACCTCAGGTTGGAGATCAGTGGCTCTCAGACTTCAGGGATAATCGGCATCACCCGGTGGGCTTGCTAACACAGAGTGCTGCGCCCACCCCCAGAGTCTCTGATTTAGTAGGTCTTGGGTTAAGACCTTAAGAGGCTTAAGGTTTGCATTTTTAATAAGTCCTCTGCTGCTGTGAGAACCACACTCTGAGAACCACTGTTCTAGAAGAATCCTGGGGGCTAGACACACTGATTTATGTCTTTGAGCACGTCTTCAAAATTCATTTGAGTATTTGAAGTTTTGGTAACTTATCACCAAGGCTACCTTTTCTTCATTTTCCTCGTCCATGTTCTCTCATACCTCGTAACTCAGCTCTGGACATCTCCTCACACCCACCACTCCTTCCATATGCTTTAGCCAGTGGTTCTCAACAAGGGACGATGCTGCCCCTTTTCCCCTAAGGGCATTTTGTATTATCTGAATACATTTTTGGTTGTCTGTCATAACTCTGCCATGAGGGGTTGGGGTGCTACGGGCACTTAGTGGATAGAGGCCAGGTATGCTTCTAAACATCCTGAATGCACAAGACCCTCCCGCCGACAACAAGGAATTTTCCAGCCCCAAATGTCAACAGTACCGCTGTTGAGAAACCTTGGCTTAAGCTGGGTTTTGTAGGTGACTTAGCTCAATTCAAAACAAATAGCCTCTTTCATTGTGCACAACTTTTATAAAGTCTCTAGATCTATAATGCTCGTAACCTCAGATTCATTTCTGTGTGTAACACATGAAGACCATACATGGGTTAGGAGAAGGATTTGCTCCACTCAGAGGATGTGGACATGCATCCTTGACACACAGTGGCCAGTGCTCCCCTCGTACATACAGCAGTGTGCTCAGTGGACAGAGAAGAAAAATTCTAGCCAACCAGTTGGTAGTTCATGGTAGCCTTTCAGTTTGTCTGACTCTCCTTTCACTTGCCACAATCAATTAACTGTCCATGTAAGTCAGCTTCCCCTAAGGCTTGGTGATGGCTTGCTTGTCATTCCAGTGCTGACTTCTCCACCAGGAGGATAATATGAATGCTTTTTTCGACTTCCAAGAAAACCAGCTATTGACTACCTTAAAGCTACTGAGCAATATTGATAGAAATTCCGAAAACCTAAAGAGACTGTCCAGATAGGGCCTCCTTAGGCATTCCTTTAGTCTGTGGAGCTATCTTAACATTATTGCTTAGCTCCAGCTTTATCCCTAACACCCCTTATCCCACTGCCCTGTGTGGACTGAGTACATGTGACCTGCGTCCTTGAAGGAAGCAGAGTCAGCCATAGTCGGCTTGTGAGTAGCCCTAGGAGTCCCGCTGGGTAGGCCTAAAAGGGATATTTTAGCAGCAGGCCTTCATTGGTAAGGGTGTGCAGAGGTGGTGGCCTTGGACAAACCTAGGTTTACAACCAGGATCTGACAATGGGGGGAGGTTGCACAGAGAGCCTCAAGGTGTAGTAGCAGTTTCTGAAGGAAAGTTTAGAGAATTCACCTTGAATGGCAGATTAATATTTTAAGTTGCATTGACGTTAACATTTTAAATGGTGCACTTGTGAGAGCAGAACCACTTGATTCTGGATCTGAATCCTTAATATGAAAACTGAAAAGCTAAAACAAAACAGAAGGACACAAGGAAACTTTTGGAGGTGATGGATATGTTTATTACCTTGTTTATGGTGATGGTCACGTAAGTGTATTCGCATGTCCAGACTCCCCAAATTGTATACTTTAATTTTATGCAGATTTTTTGTACACCAATTATACCTTGATAAAACTGGAAAAAAAACCTTATTAATCTATTAAGAGCAAACTCTATGGGAACATTAAATGAGATGTAATATGTGTAAATAGATGTCACTTTTATTTCTGAAACTGAACAGTGACAGTTCACACAACCCCAACACAAGATTTTTCCACAGTGCAATGCATTGAGGGTCTGCAAGCTCAACCATGTAGAGTCCTTAAGGCAAGTAGTGAAAAAAGAAGATCAAATCCCAGCTTATGCTGAGCTGTTGTCAGTTCCACCTTGACTGAGGTCAAACCCAGCTATTAGAACATCTAGCCTTCAGGAGGCTGCGTGGCCATGGGCATGATCTGAGAGCTGCTTATGGAAATGTTCTGTAGAACAGCAGCGATGTATAGAGGCTCTCTTCTGGAATTCCTGTGGGTGGGGTGGTGGATTTGGGCGTAGCATCGTATATACAGTACACTGCAGCTTCTAGAACCTGCGGAGCAATGTATCTGTTTGTCCCATCTGATTTTACGTGTTGGCACCTAATCTCGCCAATGTTGTTAGCTATTTTAACTTCTATTTCTAGGAGTTTTCTAGATTTTAGACTTAAAGGGAATATCTTGAGGAACAAGAGGCTTTTTAGTAGGAGAATGTGTGTGTGTGTGTGTCTGTATGTCTGTCTATGTGTGTGTGTGTTTTTGGTGTGCATTGTGAATTGCTTTAGTCTCTTAGAACTGATTTTGGGATGTATTTCTTTTTTGGGGAACCCTATGAGTTTATCTAATATAAATCATCCAAAATTAGGCAGAAATGGGAAGAAATAAAAATTTCAAAAAGTTCTTAACTTTTTATGTTTAAAAAAGTGTCCTCTTAGGTAGGTGAATTTGATATGTAAACTTACCAAATACCTAATTATTTTAACATTTCAGTTTGTTATACCTAATATTTCTATGATTCTCACACATGTTCATTCTTGTGCAGACAAGATCTGTGACCAGATCAGTGATGCCGTGCTGGATGCCCATCTGAAGCAGGACCCCAATGCCAAGGTGGCCTGTGGTAAGAAACACCCGCTCCCTCCCTGCTGAAGACCTCAGCGGGCTGGGCTCAAGGCCTTTGCTGGTGCCTGTGCTGGGGCTCTGGGCACAGCAGGGAGTCAGGGGCCCCAGCGCCTGGGGGGCCCCCGAAGTGATCATGGGTGCAGCTGAATCAGGGCCTTGGCCAAGGTCACAGGAGAGGGGGTGCCTGCATGGAGACCAGAGCCCCCCTGTCCTCACTGTGTGCCGCACAGACGGCTTCCTCCCTCTCCAGCACTGCCCTAGCTTCTGCACTGAGCACCGCAGGGACCTGTGCCCTCTGAGGGTGGCCCTCACCCTGATATCTTTGTGACTAGCCAGTGAGAAGTTTGGCCCGCCTTGGTCTCAGGATCTCAGCCTGGTGCAGCGTTAGCAAGAAGGGGTGGGAGAGGCACGCGCATGCATTCTATGTGACAGCCGCCTACCCCCATGGTCTCACCCTGATCCACACAGCAGTCCAGTGGAACTGTGGTCTTCAGGTAGCAGACAGGGAAGCAGACTGAGAGAGGTTAAATAAGTGGTTCAAGATGACACGAGCAGGAGGTGGCTCGCTGGCTGCGAAGGCGAAATGTGACCCATTCTGTCCAAAGTGTAGTGCCCCGGGAGGGATCTACCCGTGCTCAGCACTTCTGCTGGGGTTTACTCTGTTTGTTAGCATTATTCTCTTACGTCCGGAATCCATGCTTTGTGAGACTCTTTGCGAGAGGTCTGGGAGGGGGGCTCCCCTCCGCTGGCTTGTGGCCACCAACTGTTCTCCCTGTCTCGCAGAGACGGTGTGTAAGACGGGCATGGTGCTGCTCTGCGGCGAGATCACCTCCACGGCCACGGTGGACTACCAGCGGGTGGTGAGAAGCGCCATCAGGCACATTGGCTATGACGACTCTGCCAAGGGTGAGGAGAGGCCCCGGGTCTGAGACGCGTGGGCGCCCCGACCTTGCGTCCGAGCTGAGGCTCTTGGTCCTCGGCTAGTGCAAATACCACCGGGAGGAAAACATTCCTAGACCCTCCTAGCAGGGTCAGGGGTCAAAGTCTCTGGCAACAGCACGGTGGCCCATGTGACGGCACCCAGTTGAACTACCCCGTGTCTGTCTGTCCGTCCATCCATTTCTGACTCTGGTCTTCGTGGTGCAGGCAAAGGCTTTGGAAGAGAGAAGCACCCACTGAGTAAGGGGAGCTGCCCCCTGCTGGGGACGTGTTCTCTGCCAGGCCCTGGGGCTGCTCCTTGCAGGTGTCCTTTTAACTGTTTGAGGCCCTCTGCCATACTCCTCCTGCAGATGAGGAAATTGAAGCTTGGGAATGTCCATAATTTGTGTAAGGTGACGGCCAGCAGGTGGCTGCCCATGTGGACTCCTGTGCTTTCTGCTTCCCTATGCTGCTTCTCATGATAGAGAAAAAGGCGACTCCGCCCAGAACCGGTACCCAAGGCCGGTGAAGGGGACAAGCTGGCTAAGGTGGGCTCCAGTGCCAGGCAGTGCGGGAGCCTGCATTCCAGGGAAGGGACACAGGCCCTGGCAGGAAGTGAGGAGGAGCGCCGTGATCAGGGCGGGCATGGGAGGAGACAGTTGGAAAGAACAGAAGGGCCCAAAGCGGATTCCAACATCTGAGACGGGGCAGGCCTGGAAGGGGCCCAGCCTGGAGCGGTCTCAGAGAACAGCATGTGAGAGCCAGATGCTGAAGGCCTGTGTGCACTGACCTCCCAGCTACTGGGTCTTTAGGGTGACATGCGCCGCCGCGTGGGTCAGGGCAGGCTAGAATGAGGCACTGCACCCATATGAGCGAGAGCCCCTCACCACTGAGGGTGCAGACACAGAAGCTCAGCGCAGCCGCCTTCGGAGCTGCCCAGAGCACTCATTTGAGCACATGAAAGTTTGGGGGGATCCATGTCAGGAATCAGCAGGAGGAGAACCAGTGAGCACAAGCAGAATCTCCCAGTCAGTGCACAAGAGTGTTCATAGAGGAAACGCTCTGTCCCCAATCAGCAGCTTCCCCACATGCCACCCTGCAGAGCCTTCACCGTGTTCTACAAGGAAAAGCCGATTGTTTACATACGTGTAGACCTTATTCAAGAGCAAGTCTTGTTCTGTACTAGGTGGAAAGGAGACTTCCCAGGAGGCCATGTCTCCTAGAGAAAGAGAAGCGAAAGAGAGCCCAGCTCTGCTGTGCCCAGCTTGTCCCCGTGCCCGCACCCAGAGGACCCTGTGCAGCATGGTGGCTGCCCTGCGGGGGGGGGGGGGCAGGCTAACTGCCCCTTACGGCTCTGGGCCATAGTCACTGGACTGGCTGCCTTTCTGAGCCCTGTTCCTCTCCCCTTGGTCCCCTGAATGCCGTTTCCTAATCACTCGGAGCCCTTGATGGAGTTGCAGAGCTGAGAAGATTCACCATTTAGAGAGTGATTAGGAAAAATGCAAAATGTTTAATGCACCATGGTGAGTCCTTGGCAGCCCTCTAAAGATGGTTCATTGGTTTGTGCATCCAAAAGTGTTTGCTGGGAACAGGAAGCTGCAAGGGACAAAGGCGTCCTGATGCTCCCGGAGTGGGGGCACTGCCTGGCATTAAATGGTGCAGTATGAGGTGCCCTGTGGCCAGCCGGTGGCACAGTGTGCAGTGAAGGGAGGGAGGGGGAGGGGACGCCTAGGGACATTTACTGAGAACTGGTTGAATTTGGGTGTGTGGGGATGGGGAGTCAGAAGAGGAGGGGGATTATTCTACACCGAGACACCTAGTGGAGGTAGAAAAGCCAGCCACGCTGAAGGCTACACCTAAGCGCATTTGGCTAGAGCGGTTCAGCGGGGAGGGGCTGGGCGGGGCCTCGGGGCTTGGCCTCTGCTTCATTTGGCGGGAGGTCCCCATGTGAAGCATGTACAGAAACAATAGACTGGATCTGGGTTGGTTGGTTGGTTGGTTTTAGTAAGCTCACACTGGCAGCCTAGGTTGAATAGACTGGCAGGAGAGTGACAGCTACTCAGCTTGTCACTAACACTTGACCTTGTGGTGGAGCCTCTGTCAGTTTCAGCCCCTCATTCACGCAGTCCGCATAGCTGAGCCCAGCAAGGCCCGAGGACCTACAGGGAGATGAGTGTGCTGTCCAGGCGTGGCAGCCCCTTCCTGGGCTCCTTGGGCTGGGCAGCCACTGGCCAAACCTCCGTGAACCAGTTCCGGGCCTGCAGCCCCTTGCTGGAGAGAACAGCCTCCATCTCTGTGCCTGACCTTTGGGGATGGGCAGATGGGGCCTCAGCCTCCAGAGGGGTGCCTTTTCCATTTTGCTCCAAGCCCTGTGCATCGCCTGGGATCAGAGGACTCTAGGTCTGGGAGCATGTCTGAGTAGTTTCTGTGCGCTGTATTTGTCCAATATATTTAATATCTGCATCAGGCACATCCCTGGGCTTCTGAACTGCAGTGCTGGAAGGCGATTTTCAGCCTAGATCTTAGAAGGTGCCTAAGGGGGCAGGGCCATGAGTCACCCCCACCTGCTCTTCAGCCAGAGTAGCTGTAGCTCTTGATCTGGTTTTTATACTGCAGTTCTGTGCAGGATACATATATATATATATATATATAAAAAAAAATATATATATATATTAAGATTTTATTTATTTATTTGAAAGAAAGAGAGAGCGCACGAGAGAGAGCATGAGAGGGGAGAGAGTCAGAGGGAGAAGCAGGTTTTGCACTGAGCAGGGAGCCCGACGTGGGACTCGATCCTGGGACTCGGGGATCATGACCTGAGCTGAAGGCAGATGCTTAACCAACTGAGCCATCCAGGTGCCCTAGGATATATATTTTTAATCTGGGTATAATATAGTAAATATAGTAAAATGCACTGTGGAGGATTTTAATATATAGTAAAATGCACTGTGGAGGATTTTCTTTGACTTAGAGTTCTAGATGATCATATGGGAAGGGTGCATGGGCTTCCCCACCCCTGGGCCTCAGCTTTGAGCCCAGACAGACCCCAGCTGGTGAGAGACCACCCGCCCCAACACCAAATGCCACGTCAGGAGTGGAGCAGTCGGCCAGGAAGCTCACAGCCATGCTCTGCCTGACCTGTGTCCCCACTAAGCCCCCCTCTCCCTTCTGCCTAGGCTTTGACTTCAAGACCTGCAACGTGCTGGTGGCTCTGGAGCAGCAGTCCCCGGATATCGCCCAGGGCGTACATCTGGACAGGAGTGAGGAGGACGTCGGGGCCGGAGACCAGGTAACTAAAGGGGGCGTGGGCGCCTTGTCAGGCCGTCGGGATGGCACTGCCTGTCTCCTCCCTGGCTCGGACCCCCGGGAGGGGCTGGCTGGGAGAGTCATGAGTGCTGGACTGAGCACAGTCCCGTGCGGGTGGTGCGTGCACGAGGGACCCAACACACTTGGCCGGAGTAGCAGCCAAGTGTTAGACCGGCAGCAAGTTGTCCCGTGATCTAAAGTGGGCCTTGCTCAGTCGGCCCTCTCCCCTGCTCTAGGGTTTGATGTTCGGCTATGCCACCGATGAGACGGAAGAGTGCATGCCCCTCACTGTTATCCTGGCTCACAAACTCAACGCCCGGATGGCAGACCTCAGACGCTCCGGGGTCCTCCCCTGGCTGCGGCCTGACTCCAAGACTCAGGTGAGCCTCCTCCTTTCGCTCCCCCGTGGAGCCCCAGACGCGCCCTTCCAGCGCCCCCAGACCCTCTTGATTCATGTCATGATTAAGATCAAAATGTTCAGTCAGGACACTCAAAGAATTATTGATTGTGAAAAGAACTATTTATTTGAAAACTCTTCAGGTCTAGATGTTTTCTCTCCCAATTTTTTTTTATTATGAAAAAATGTTTAAAATACAGAAAAATGGAAAGAACCGTTCTAGATTTTTCTTTTTTGCCTTCTTAGCAGATGTTGACTCTGGTCATGTGATTTCCTGGCTCCTGCCACACGGTGCTTAATCAGTTTCAGACTTTCGGTCACTGCCCTTCCACCTCACAGGCCTCCACCCCTTGAGCAAAGACTAAACACTAGTTGACAAGTGTTGTCTGCGTCTCACTGTGGCCCTTTACCCCTGTTTCTCATAAAAAGGCTTTCCCTTTGCTGTTTCGGACTCTCTGTCCCCTCGGGCCCTAACATCGCCCCTCCAGGCAGTGGGGAAGTCCTCACCAACGTCCACATTTGAAGGTCAGCCGTGATGCAAGAGTTAGCCGACGTGGAAGGGCCCTGTCTGCCTCCACGCTCCACGTCCCTGCCCTGTTTAACCCTGGTGACCTTGCGGGCCCCTTTCCTGGGGCCTCCTCCCCTGGCTCCTCTTTCGCCCTCCAACAGGTCCTTGGCACCTCTTGCACACCCTCTCCCTCCACCCACGCTCACACCCAATTTCTACCGTGTCCCACTCAGCGCCCCAAGCTTCTACCTGCAGGGTCTCTGAATCAGCGGCCGTCTTTCTCATCCACCCTGCAAACACCCGTGCCTGAGAGCCATCGTGTGCAGCTTCAGTGTCACCTCCTCCTCAGCTCAAGGGAGTGTGGTGGTGCCCCCCCTCCTGCTCGGCACCCTCTCTGTCTCCACCCTGCCTTAGGCATTCTCCCTCCAGAGCATCTCTTCTTCTCCAGCTTGGTTCCCAGGGCCAGGATCCGCATCGTGCCCTCCCGAGGATTCTCTCTGCCTGGAAACCCCCCTTAACTCCTTTTGGACTTTTAATTTCTTTTTTTTAATTATTATTATGTTCAGTTAGCCAACATATAGTAGAATCCTCAGCAGTTTTCTGCTTCCTACAGGGGGACAAACCCCCTGCTTGTTATTCTGGTATTCCAAGCCTTTTATGGTCTTCCGGGTTTACCTTCCTCTACCTCCCCTCCCCCAGTCTGCTTAATCTGGCTGATTTCACTCATGTTCCCCTTGATTCCAGTGCTTTGCACCTGTGCTCGCACCCTCCACCTTACCTGGAATCTTCTCGGTTCTCCCCTGTCCATGAGTGGCCGGCAAAGCCCCCACCTCCTGTGGTTTTCCCTGGTGGCCGCCACCTCACGGGGCCTTCTCTGGCTCCTGTAGTTGGAATTCAGCACATGCGGTTGTGTAGCTCAGCATGGAGCACGTGACTGTCCTGTTACCCCACCTGCACCGAGGTGCATCCTTCCCAGCCCAGGTGGGAGGCCTCACAGAGGGCAAGGAAGTGCATTTGCGGTCTCAAGCTAACCCTTTGTGGTGTTCTCCACGTGACCCCTCGGTGGGGAGTGGAACCATCAGCACTCCTCGGGTTCTCTGAGGTTGTGGCGCAGGGGAGCTATCATGCAAAGACTGTGGTGGCATCAAAAGAGAGGGGCACACAGATGCTGGCGCGCCTGGCCCCCGTCCTGGGCCAGAGCCGTGCTGTGACGGGAAGTGCGGTGGAGATCCACGGAGCACAGAATCAGTGGAACAGGGGTGGGAGAAGCCGAGCGACAGGGCTTTGCTTTTCCTTGTGTGACAGGGAGGCCCGGAGGCACCGCCATGGGACCGGACGAAACAGGGAAGGCCTGCATCATCTCGCTTAGTCCTTGAAGTCTTCCAAGCCCACGGTGGGGGGTGGGGGCGAGGATGTGCTCTTCTGGGGGCTCCCTTCCTGCAGGGCTACACGGAAACCTCTTAATGCTACTTTGGACACCGAAATCCGCCTCACTGGCCTGCTGCAAGGTGGGGGGCGAACCCCTGGCATTGCAGACACACGGGTAGGGGTCTGCCCCGGCCGTCCGAGGGTCCCCGCCTGCAGCTGCTTCACTGTGCACCGCACTGTGTCAGGACCGGTTTCCGGGCCGGCTCCAGAGCCCATATGAGAAGGACTTTCATCATCTAAGCAGAGTGTTGACTGTGAACAGGATGAGTCTTTCCACCTGAACAAACTCTTGCTGCTGATATGGAGACTTGAGTGGCAGTGCGGATGGCTATTTTTATACCTGGTCAGAGTTGTGTTTTCCGTGGTGTATTTTTCCCCACATCTTGCTGACATGGAGAGATAAGGGGCGTACTTGGAACCCTTTGCCCTGCTGCAGTTGTGTGGTTCTACATGGATGCTGCCTGGGGCTTACAGCTGGCCGAGTAGGAAGTCCAGGGAGCGGGGGAGTGGTCCCAGAGCGGCTACAGGCCTCCCCTCCTGGGAGCCCCTACCCCAGCTCTGGCTCCCTGTCGCAGCTGTGTGTACGTAGCCCAGCATTTAAAGGTTGTTCTCTGTACGCAGATGTTCATGCGCACCTGCCTCTTGCGCTAGGATCAGACATCATGTGGGCAGGGCTCATTCTCTTCCTCCTTCTGGACTCCACCCTCTGGTTCTTTGAACCAGGCAGGACACAGAGTAGTAGTTTGGAACAGGCTGGTGTTTGGTGGATATCGGAGGGCCCTTGGGCAGGCGGAGATCCTGCTGCAGGCACAGCCCCGGGGAGGCGCTGTTGGCTGTCCCGAGGTCCTCTCAAGGCCCTGGGGCAGGGTGTTGCTACCAGGGACAGCTGGCCTAGTCGCACTCCTGCAGCCCCCACGTACCCCAGGCCCCCCCACCCCGGTGGGTCCACACTGCCTCGGGGGGCACTGGGGCCTGTGGCTCCTGCGTGTCCCTCAGGGCCCTGAGTGGCAGCCTTCTGCTGGGCAGAGCCCCAGCTACGGGGCCACGTAGCCCCAGGGCAGAGCCCAGCTCTATCAGCTGTGTGATCTTGACCAAGGTACTTAGGTTCTGAAGGCTCAGCTCTCCTATCTTTAAAACAGGGTGAGCAACAGCTTCCCACAGCTTTGGGCACCTCTTCTAGCTGCTTTCCCAGCTTCACCTGCTGTCCTCACTGTCTCCTTCGCTCTCGCTCTGCAAGCCTGGTGTGCCCAGACTGGTAATGCCCAGAACGGGCACAGCACTGACCCAGGTGGGTAGAAGTGAGCATTCGAACTGCTCCCTTGCAGGGGTACTGCAGGTGGGCTCCTTCCCTCCACGTGCTCTCTGCTTTTCCTTTCTTTAGCTCAGACACCCAGAGGCTGGCCATCCGGAGCTTGCTGCCCCCTCAATTTCAGCCAGCCTGACCCGAGCCCCTCTCACCCTGTCCCTCCAGCAGGCAAGTCCCCTGGCCCCATGCACTTCCAGAGCTCTTCCACTGAGGGGCTGGGGCAGCCGGCCTGGCCCGTGGAGGCCTGTGCTCTTTGGCAGAAGCTGGGATACCTTGGCTCCAGGCCGTGGAGTGTCAAGAGAGGGCTTTGGCCAGGGGGACATTTGTTGGCACCCAGAGCCCTCTGAGACAGAAGGGGAGGAGTCTAGTTGGGTCACAAATGAGAGGAAACTCTGTAACCCTGAGTCTCTAAGGGGCACTAATAGGGGTCATAGGTGGGAATAGCTTATGCCTCATACCCAGTCATCCCATACATAGCACGTGGCAATTGCTCAAACATAAGAAGATGTCAGATTAACTTTCCTGGAGGCCCTTGGAGGACAGGAGGCCCCCCTCACTTGGCTCCTGGGTGTCTGTCCCTGGCAGCGATGTGTCCCCAGCTCAGTGCATCTCCTGACCTTGTGACCCAACAGGTGACAGTTGAGTACACCCAGGACAATGGCGCGGTCATCCCCGTGCGCATCCACACCATCGTCATCTCCGTACAGCACAACGAGGACATAACCCTGGAGGACATGCGCAAGGCCCTAAAGGAGCAGGTGATCAAGGCCGTGGTGCCCGCCAAGTACCTGGACGAAGATACCATTTACCACCTGCAGCCCAGCGGGCGGTTTGTCATTGGCGGTCCCCAGGTGCGCCCTTGCCTCTGAGCAGAGTCCTGATTTGCCTTTGTTACTGCGGTTGCTTACTTGCCGGAGCACAAAGGAGGAGGTGGCTTTGTGTGGCTCAGCCACGTCTGGGCCTGGGCAGAACATGAGGTCGGCTCGCACTCCGTGGGGCCTGCTGTGTGTGCGTCAGTGCATGCGGAACTGGGACATGTCCCCAGAACCCTCCCACCTAGTGCGGCCCAGCCTCCCCTGGTCATACTTGCCTACGCTGCTACCTCGCCCTGCTGAGCTGCCAAATCACCCTTGCCGATGACCGGCCTCCCCAGGTGGCAGTACGGGGTCTTCGCCACAGGTTGCCTTCAACTTGCGTGGGGGCAGGTGTTTCGATGGGGACCCCTGCTGCCCCCTTTCTTCTCTCTCTCCAGGAGAGAGGAAGTGGGGATTGGCAGAGCACCCCGGAGAGGCTGCTTGACCTCTGCCAGGGGTGCCTCAACTGGGGATGCGTTGCCACCAAGCGGAGCCCCCGTAATGGGTTCCATGACCAAATGTCTTGCAGAAACACAGGGTAAAAGGAAGGCAAAGCTTACTGTCCTTTCTTGTAAGACTTCTCAAAGCCTAAATGTGCTGGTGGGAATGGTGGGTCTCTAAGCAGGGGGATAGAGTATGCAGTCTTTCCCCAAAACACTGAACACGGAGCCCCTGCCCTTTCAAAACATGGTGGTTGCCTGATGCTGCACAGAGCAGACACGGGAGGAAATGGGCACCGTGGCATGTGCCGGGTGCCACCAGCCAGGGCCACAGCCTGGGGTGTACTTAGCACAGTTCCTGCCTGCAGTTGGATTTCTCCAGCATGACTGACTCACAAAAACAAAGACTGAAGTAGAAGCTGGCTGGGATTCCAGCCTCTGGCCCATTGTTTGCACTTTCTCATGGGGCTCTGGCAGGTTACCTGGCTTCTGGAATTGGTCAGTGACTGAACTGGGGTTAAAGACCAAGGTTTCCAGCTCTGGGGGGCAGGGCAGGTCTTGAAAAAATGCCCGCAGGCAGCTTCAGGGCACCCTTTCCACGTAAGCCCAGCGGCCTTCAGCGTGCTCCGGCTGCCCTCCTGCCCTGCTCTCTGCGCACTCCGGTTCTTATCTCCTCCCTCCCTGTCCTCCTTTCCCTCTGCAGGGGGACGCGGGCGTCACTGGCCGTAAGATTATCGTGGACACCTATGGCGGCTGGGGGGCGCACGGTGGCGGGGCCTTCTCTGGGAAGGACTACACCAAGGTGGACCGCTCGGCGGCATACGCGGCCCGCTGGGTGGCCAAGTCCCTGGTGAAAGCGGGGCTCTGCCGGAGAGTGCTCGTGCAGGTGGGTGGGCCCCACTCTGACCACCCCATCTCGGCCCTGGGTGAGGACCTGCTGGCCCGGTGGGACGCCCACACACTTTGCCAAGGGCACTGGGGCGCGTACCCTGAAAACCTGAGGGAGGGAAAAAAATCTTCTAGGAGACAGGCATACATCACTGTGAAGATGGTGGGGATTTTTCTAGGCAGACAAGGTTGGGGAGCATGTTGGGCAAGTGGGTGGCTCCAGCTGCCCCTCCCTGAGGATGTTTGCACAGAGGCTTCTGCCCCTGACCCTGCTCTCTTCTGGAAGGTTTCCTATGCCATTGGTGTGGCTAAGCCACTGTCCATTTCCATCTTCACCTACGGAAGCTCTCAGAAGACAGAGAGAGAGCTGCTAGATGTGGTCAGTAAGAACTTTGACCTTCGGCCTGGTGTCATCGTCAGGTAAAAGCGCCGCCCACCGCTGCCGGACAGGCCCCTCCTCCTCCCTCACCCAGAGGCTCGGTTCCACTGGAAGCGAGACAGAAGGAAGGACTTTCAGCCTCCCCAAAGCAGGAGGGCGTCCAGGCTCCTGGACCGGCACATCAGACACCCCAAATGCAGGATGCCTGCTTTCAGGCTGAAGGAGGCTGGCCCCGAGACACTCCAGTGGGGCCGTCTTGGGGCAGGTGGTGGGGGAGGGTCATAGAAAAGTAATCGTAAAGCCGAATGCTGAGAAGTGAGCCAGCAGATCTAGTCCCATCTCCCTTTGTTTCTAATGCCATCCCTGCTTTCTGGAGCTTGGTGATGTTGGTCTGCGCCAGGCCAGTGGAGTGGAGAGGAGAGAGGCACGGTGAGGCCAGAATTCAAATTCTGGGTCCTGGGTGTGTCTGTCTGAGCCTGTTCCCTGAGGGCCAGTGACAGTCATCTCAGAAGGTGTGGTGGGGCACAGACAGGAAGTTTATGGGAAATTGCTCTGAGTGGGGACACTCCATGCAGAGACCATCACACTCTGATAATCACTGCTGGGCTCAAAATGCAGAGAAACTCTGTGCTCCTTTTCCATTTAAAATGACCCTTTCCTCTGCTGACTGTGCAGGGATTTGGATTTGAAGAAGCCCATCTACCAGAAGACGGCGTGCTATGGCCATTTCGGAAGAAGCGAGTTCCCGTGGGAAATTCCCAAGAAGCTTGTGTTTTAGAGCTGGTGGGAGTGGGGCCGGGCCTGGCTCTGAAGGCATCTGGGTGGCCTGCTTCCTCTTCTTCAGCATCCCAGCTCTCACATGTCCCAGACCCAGGGCTCTGACTGCCCTCCCAGGGAGTGCCTTCCCACCCCCCACCCCCTCCTGGACCGAGCCACATCCCTAGGGTTAGCCCTGTGCTGTCATCACTGTGAATGGCAGGAGGCTTGCTGGTGCTGGGGGTCACATCTCCTCAGGAGGGTGGTCACAATGTTCCCCTGCTTTTCCCTCAGACCTAGGCCATGTTCATTTAGTGGAAAAACCATCCCTATCAAGAGTAAATCCCCTCACTCACCTCCCCCGTGAGCGGTCCGCTCCTCCCTCACAGATCTCAGGGATCCTGGGTGTGCCGGGTCAGCCCTTCACATCTGTGGCCTGTGTCCTAAGCCAGGGCCTTCACAGAGGCCTCCCGGGCTAGGCATCTGGCCAAGATAGGAACAGGGGCTGACATCTCCTAAGCGTCTACAAATGTGTGAGGGACTGAGCTAATTACTGATCTCATTTCTTCTTCACTGCCACATGATGAGGTTAACACCTCATTCCCACTTCTATAGGGGGAAACTGAGGCACAGACTACGTAGGTAACTTCCCCAAGGTCCCATAGCCACACGTGTCAGGACCTAGACATGAGTCACGGAGCTCTGACTCAGGAACGCCCCCCAGCCCCGTTGCCATCTCATGCCAGATGCAGGCCTGAGCAATGACAAAGCAGATTTGAGATGAAGCTGTGTGACCTCTGCCCTGAAGACCTGAGGTTGCTGCGATTAGGGGATTAACCCCTGGCTCTTGGTGAGCCCAGTGATATGCAAAGTCAGGACAGAGAAGCTCAGGTGGCCAGCTCAGGTGGCTAGCCCCTTAGGGCCCCAGAACCCTGTGTCCTTCAAGTCCTTCTCTCTCTTCAGCCTCGTTGTCTGAGCCCTACTATATACCCACTATTAGAATAAGTGGGTGAGGGTGCCTGGGTGGCTCAGTCGGTTCAGCGGCTGCCTTCGGCTCAGGTCATGATCCCAGGGTCCTGGGATCGAGTCCTGCATCGGGCTCCCTGCTCAGTGCAGAGCCTGCTTCTCCCTCTCCTTCTGCCATTCCCTCTGCTTGTACACTTCTGTCTATCTCTCTGTCAAATAAATAAATAAAATCTTAAAAAAAATAGAATAAGTGGGTGAGCCCCTCAGATGCCCCTTTCGGAGAGGCCAACTGTGAGGCCCAAACATCTGTGACCCAGATGGCAGGGCTGAACTCCTAGTGGTAGACAAGTTGGCTGGGATGTCATGAGGGAATCCTGCCTTGCCAGGTGGCTTCTGGGCCACAGTACCCACGGGGCCTGAGTGTTCCTCGGTGTGCTAGGGTCTTGGAAGCTGCACATTCACCTGCCTTTCCATCCTTGGCCAGCACTACCTACCCGCCTGTCCTCAGCCTGGGCCTCTGACAGCAGCATCTCGGCCTTCTCCTTAGCTGCCCAGACCACAGGCTGGGTGGGGGCCTCCACAGATCCCAAGAGCTGGAGACTGGGCTTCTTTCCAGGGCGTGTGATGCTGATTCTGGCTGGGACAGGCAGCCCACGAAGCCTCATCTGGGGAAAAGACTGCCAGCATCTGGGCTCTAGGCCTGAAGCACAAAGACCCGAGGCTCTTCTCTTTCCGTCAGAGAAAAGGCAGCCCTTCCGGGAAGAAAAAAGAAGCCCAAATTTGCATCTAAGCCTAGAGCTTGTGTCTGTTCTGGAGGCTCTGGTGTGTCTGCGGGCACCAATCACCCAGCAAGCCTCAAGCTCTCCTTCCAGGAGAGGGAGGTGCAGGTTTGTGGGCAGCGAGTTCCTCTCACTCAGGCCATATTAGAAGTCAAAATTCACAATTGTATACTTTCCCCACTCCCTAGAGAAACAAGATCTTTTTTTGGTGTCAACATTGTTTATAAGAATCTAGAACCTTTTTTAATAGTTCCTGCTACAACAGGATAAATCAAACGGAATAAACAGCCCTTCAGTGAGTCAAACTGAAAGAACAACTACTCTATGCTTAGTTTTTGTCTGCAAACCTCCAGACACCCCACCTCTGAGGAGCATCCCCCAGCCCTGAGCAAAGGGGTGGTACCCCCTGCTCTGTGTTCCCCCACCCACGGTCCCCTGTTCCTGTCTGTGTGGGCTTCTCCGGCATAGATTAAGGCTTCCACATCCCCAGCGACTGCGTTGTCACCACATTTCTGTATTTGTTCCTCACCACACCCAGCTGAGTTTCATGGGGAGAACCTGAGGCCCAGAGGGTGAGGAACGTGACCCAGGCACCCGGCTGGCAAGGGGCTCCCCAATCTCCCAAGCGCTCCATTACCATGTGCTACCACCCCTCGGCCTGGTGCCCTCCCTGCAGATTATCTGCAGCAAGACTGTCATGAGGGGGGCATTCAGGCCATGTTGTCTGTTGGCTGAATCACTGAAGTCAAATGAAGGGAGTGAAGGAGGGTTTTTGTCTGCAGAGAGATGAACCAGACCTTTAAACAGGTTTAAAGGGGCACATCCCCCTTTCACACACTGTGTGAGGAGAATTAACAGGTGACATTTGTATTAGCAGACTGTGGGAGCAGAAGCCCCTGGAAAGAGAGTCCTTGGCGGGGTGGGGGGATGCTTTCTGCACTGTGTCCTACAAGCAGGCTGTGGGGAGAGGACCCCGCTCCGGAGAAACATCCAGGTCCAGGCTGAGGAGAAAGCCATGTGAGAAGGCTTTGAGATGGGCTGGTCCAGGTGCCAGGAAGGGCAGAAGTGCGGCTGAGACCTGGGAACGTGGCAGAGAGGCAGAGAAAGCCAAAGGCCACAGGCTTGCATGAGACAGAATCAGTGACTTGAGCAGCAACTACAGGGGCCATGCAGTGACCTGCATTTCCTAGAATATAATCCACGTTTCATAAGAACAGAAAAAGACACCCGTGAAACATTGGAATGCTTGCCTGAGAGGGAAGGCGGTGAAGGAATGGGCTTTATGGGCATCAAAGGCCAAATGATGAGTGAGAGC